CTCTTTTGCTAGTGCAAAGGGTAACATCCCGGCATGTTACAGTGACGGCCTCTCTTAATGCCCCCACTCCTGGAACTAAGTGGATATGTGATGATTTCAGCCTTGATTCTTAAAGAAAAATAAATGTTTAGGAGAAAGCTTCAAAATGTGACCCCAGTGCACCCGAACGGCTCCAAAAGCAGCAGGCAAAATACTAAGGGCACCAGATCTGTTTTTTTTACACTAGCCAATTAGCCTATCATAAGACGGGATTTTCAGGTCTCTCCTCCATGTCGGTCTTCTCTCCTGAGCCTCTGGTCTCTTGCTCTTGCTCCATCTCTCTCTCTCTCTCTCTCTCCTTCTCCTCCTACTGTCTCCCCCTCTTTCTCTCTCTCAGCTCTCCTCCCCCTCCTGCCTCTTACTCGGGGGACCGCGGAGCCCAAATGGCCGTTTGGGCTCCGCACTCCCCGTGCTGCATGGGGGGTGTGGAGCCCAAATGGTCGCTTGCACCGCTTGCTCCCCCACGGCAGCCTTGCACATCACTGCCCCACCCTCCTTCCCCTCCCGCCGTGGCACTCGGCTGACTTCTGCGCCGCTCAGCCGGGCCGCCACGGGGGAGCAAGCGGTGCAAGCGGCCGTTTGGGCCCCGCACTCCTCATGCAACACGGGCCCCCCAGAGGGAACAGCCAGCATTTCGGCATTACAGACTCTCAGACACTGGGCTACTATATATATGATGCTCCCAGGATTTCAAAGCCAATCTCATGATTTCTGGTGAACCTGACTCATGATTTTTGACCATTTGGGGCTGGCACTCGGGCTATCAGAACAAAACCGGCCATTGTGGGGCAGCATGGCCAGACTTTACTAATCACCACTGCACACCCAGGAAGCAGCCCTGTGCAGAAGGCCTCATCCCATCAGCTTGAACCCTGGAAGTGGACAAGAAATATTTTCATCTCTGTGGCTGCTTGGACCCTCCTCGGGCTGGAACTAGGAACCAGAAGCTGAGCTCCCCAGAGTCAGCCGGGGGTACCCCTAAAAGGCATTCAGAGCTGACAGGCTGCTACAACTCCGTCACCTTTTGGAGCCACAGCCTGCAACTCATTTCTGTACCTACGTTTGCCGGCTTTCACCTGGGAATAACCAGCTCATTTCTTTTTCCGACAAGTGTTTGGTGAGAGCTAACGTACAAATTGAGCTGGGGTAAGTGGCTGGTCTCTTGGGACTGGAAAGCAACCTCAATCTTCTGTGTTGTCTTTGGGGTAGGGCCAGCTAGAGCCAAGTCCAGCTTGCCCCGGGGACGAGACAGATTGGAGTGCCTGAAGAGACTGTCTGTGATTGTGACTGTACTTCAGGAAATCACACTTCTTCCTGGGCTGGTGACATCCAATTATAGAACATACAGGCAGTTTGGCAGCCTGCCCTGAGGTTGTTAACAACCCCCGACAGCGTGCCAGCCATCACCAGGGAGGATGGAGTTGCTGGATGTGGTGCAGCTTCTCTATATCACGCGATGCTGAAATGTTTTCAGGCATCCAGTCTGGGGGGAAAAAATCACAGAAAGGGCCCAGACTCATAGAAACATTGTTTAATTTTGACAAAAAAGCTCAGAAAACCTCTAAATACAATTGACAATGCAACTGTGGACTCCAAGTTAGTACTGCTTTGGAAAGCCTGGACATAGCCCCAGGTGATCGCTTTTATGCATTTAGCTGTACTTTTGCCCTTGGGTGAAGCCAATGTCTGTAGTCACCTGACAGCAGGAGTGTGTTTGTGCCATGAATTAAAACAGACTATTTGGCATTATTTGTACAATGGACTGATTTACTCCAAGCATCTGAAGAAGTGGGTGGTGCCCACGAAAGCTCACGGCACCAGCTGCATGCTGTTAGGCTCAACGATGCTGCAGGACCATTGGTTGTTTTTGAAACGATGGGAAGGAAGTTTTCTCTGCCTGCTGTTTTTAGGAAGTTATGCAGTATAGAATAGAATGATTGAATATACTTCGTTGACGTTAGCTGCTTCATCAGAGACTTAAGTCTAACGCACATACGGTAAATGCCTTCTTGTAATTATCTTCCTACGAGCACTGAATTAAATGGTAATCCATGTAAACTACTCAGACACCAGTAGCGGGTCAGGGCCGCAGAATGGCTGAATAAGCAGGTATACATGTGGTCTTCTGGGTTCCCCAGCCTCTGCCTACAAGCTATTCCCATGCGTGCACTGACAGCTGTGTGGCTGGAGCCGGACCAGATGTTGGGAACTAGATGACCTGTACTATCGCTGGCCCATCTGCTGTTGGCAGGGTCACATGATGATATTGAACTGTGTTAGGACCCCTCTGAGTGACACAATCTGCATGTGTCAGGTGCTGGCTGAAGGAGGCCTTTGTTGGTGGCCGTTTCTCACCTGCTGGGTGGTTGGTAGCAAACAACTGGCAGAGATGTGGATACACTCCTCCCCCCAAAACTGCCCCCTTTGCCCTCAGTCACCCTTCCCAAAAAGTAGTGCCCACCCCCCCAGCTCTCAGCTGCTGCAGTGGCCTCTCCTGTCCCTGTGACTGACAGGGGCCTCATATGCCCCCCGTCACCGCTGGCTGTGGCTGCAGAACAAGGATGCTGCTGGGTGTGCATTGCACCCTACTTTCAAACCATGCTGAGCCAGGACGTCTTGGCTCAGCCACGGCCTGGATCTTGTTAACGCTCAGCTTAGGTCAGCCTTCCTTGTGGCACTGTCCCACGTTCATTAGCTATTTATGGCCAAAGCAACGCCCCAGAAGGAGCAGCCCTCTGCAGCCCTGCGATTAAGGCCCCCCCCCTCCGTGCTGAGGAGGTTGTGGGGTAAACAGGGCTTTGAACAATCCTGCCTTCTAGGCTTTCTGGGTGTTCATGTAGTAAGTCTCCTGTGGCATAGTGGGGTGAGGCTATGTCTGCTGTGCATGGCCTTGGTTTGGTTTGGGGTGCCTGTTTACCAGCTGGGCCTTTTGTTGAAGTGCCTTGCACTTTAATTAACTGTTAATTGAGACACAGCAAAAGTCTATAGACTCATAGAACACTACAACTCAGAGGGACATCTAGACATCATCAAGTCCAGTCCCCTGCCCTCATGGCAGGACCGAGCACCATCTGACCATCCCTGACAGGTGTCTGTCCAACCTGCTCTTAAATATCTCCAGTGATGGAGATTCCACAACCCCGCAGGCAACTTATTCCAGTGATTAACCACCCTGACAGGCAGGAAGTTTTTCTTAATGGCCAACCTAAACCTTCCTTGCTGCAATGTGAGCCCTTTGCTTCTCACCCTACAGCTATAAGATTTCTCTGGTGTAGTGGTCAGTGTGTTGGCTTGTGATGTGACTTTTAATGGTTCAATTTCCCTGTGGGCCAAAGGGGTTGGAACAATGAAATGCCCTGGCTCTTCACTTGAATAAACTATTAATTTGGCCAAGGAGAGGCTTTCTCCAGTAAAGTTCTCTAGGGCAGTGGCTGGGGTGTGAACTCTATTGGTCAGGTCCTTGAGCCACCCCTTGGAACTATTAATTAGGCCAAAGAGAGCCTCTGTTCTGTAAAGCTCTAGATAGGGCAGTGGTTACTATATTGGCTTGTGGTATGAGTGCCCCTGGTTCAAGTCCCTGGTGGGGTGAGTGGATTTGAGCAATGAAGGGCTCTGCTTTTTCTGTTGACACTTGTACCACTTTAATAAACTATTAATTCGGCCAAAGAGAGCTGTAACTCCATAAAGTTCCTGGTAGGGTAGTGGTTAGTGTGTTGGGCTGTGGTTGGAGCCCTTGGTGGATTTGAAGAAGGAAATACTCTGGCTTTTTTCTTGACACTTGTTCCACTTGAATAAACTATTAACTTGGCCAAAGAGAGGGTTAACTCTGTAAAGCTCTCCATAGCACAGTGGTTAGTGTAGTGACTACTGGTGTGTACTCTAATGGTTCAAGTCCCTCCTGGGGTAAGGAGATGGCCTGGCTTTTCTATTGACACATGAGCCTCTTGAATAAACTATTAACTTGGCCAAAGAGAGGGCCAACTTTATAACGCTCCCCATAGCACAGTGACTAGTGTGTTGACTCCAGGGGTGTACTCTAACAGTTCAAGTCCCCCCAAGGGTAAGGTGATGCCCTGGCTTTTCTCTTGACAGGTGTTCCACTTCAATAAACTATTAACTTGGCCAAAGACAGGGTTAACTCTGTAAAGCTCTCCATAGCACAGTGGCTAGTGTATTGATACCTTGTGTGTACTCTACTGGTTCAAGCCCCCACTGAGATAAGAAGATGGCCTGACTTTTCTATTGACACATGTTCCACTTTAATAAACTATTAACTGGGCCAGAAAGAGGGGCAACTCTGTAAAGCTCTCCATAGGGCAGTGGTTAGTGTGCTTGCTTGTAGTGTGAGTGCTACTAGTTCAAGTCCCCATTGGGGTAAGTAGATTTAAATAAGGAGCTGGTCTGGCTTTTCTGTTGACACTTGTTCCTAATAAACTATTAACTGGGCCAAAGAGAGAGCTACCTCTGTAAAACTCTCCATAGGGCAGTGGTCACAGCACTTGCCTAGGCTGCTCACAGAAGGGGCTCGAGTCCCTGCTGGGGGTGAAAGTGTTTCATTTGAAGAGCAAGTGCCATTACTCTTACCTGTTGGCGCTGTTCCCCTTTACTTAAGTGTGGCCTGGGGCAGCTCTAGCGTTTGGATCACTCTGTAGCCCGGTGGTTGCGTGCTTGCCTAGAAGGTGGGAGATCCTTGGATTTCCTAGTTCGAATCCTACCTCTGCCCCTTTAGAAGGGGTTTGACTGGGGAAATCCTCTCTCCCAGGTGACCGGGGAGGTGGCAGATTCCTATTTAGGTCCCTGCTCCGGGTGGAGCCATTGTCTTAAGAATAAAAGACGGGACTTAGACTGAAAGCTCTCACCTCTCTGGGGGGTGGGGTTAGGTGGGGGTGGGGGGTGG